CTGTTTTGAAACACTAATATTTGTATTCAGCGAAGTCTCCAGAGTAAAACTGTGTACAGGTTTTAGGGTGTCTTGGAAAGTTACAGGGTTAAATATAGTGCTAGCAAATACATTTTCTGCATTGGTTGTCAGGCAGGTCCCTCAAATTGTAATCAATAAAATTACATAAATATGTACATAGAATTTAAATATATACATTGTTGTATATTTGAAGTCTACGTGTATATTTATGAAGTTATTTATGTAATTATGTGTATGGGTATATTTATATTTTTTTTAATTATTTTTATGTGTTTATACATTTCATTCTAAGTGTTGTCTGATATGAATATATATATTCATATCAAAATACACTTAGAATGAAATTACGTATATATTTTTTAAATTATTTTTATAGTATGTATGTATGTATATATATATATATATATATATATATATATATATATAAAATACACAAGATCCAGCGCACTCACCTATCCACTAAACAGCAACTATATATATAGTTAATACAATGCTAAACAAAAATCTGCACACCAGTCAAGCCATAAGACTTGCTTTTCCCACAGAAATCCCAAATCGGCAGTGATGTTACAACTGCAAAGGATTCTGGGTGGGCATATGCAAATTAGTTTAACAAAGAATCACATTTTTGCCTTATTCCATTTTAAACATGGATTCCTTTTAATTTGTGTTTGCAGTATACAACTGCTTGGAACACAACTTAGGATAAGATGCAAAACCAGTGAACCACTCATGGACAGCTGTTTCGTTGTTAATGCAACTCTTCAGCATGAGGTTGGTTACTGGTTTGCTTATTGAGGCTTGGTAGTGCTTGGGAAGCAAAATCCAAATAGGTTATGGTGGGGAAAAATTGTGATTGAAAAAAATATATAGTTATTGTTATATACAGTTGCAAGTATGTGAACCATTTGGAATGATAAGGATTTCTGCACAAATTGGTCATAAAATGTGATCTGATCATCATCCAAGTCACAACAATAGACAATCACAGTCTGCTTAAACTAATAACACACAAAGAATGAAATGTTCCTGTGTGTCCAACTTGTCTGGTTACAACTACATGTCTGTTCATCCACCCATTGTAAAGCGCTGCGGAATTTGATGGCGCTCTATAAATATCATAATAATAATAAACGTTGCCATGTTTTTATTGAACACACCATGTAAACATTCACAGTGCAGGTGGAAAAAGTATGTGAACCCTTGGATTTAATAACGGGTTGAACCTCCTTTGGCAGCAATAACGTCAACCAAACGTTTCCTGTAGTTGCAGATCAGATGTGCTCAACGGTCAGGAGTAATTCTTGACCATTCCTCTTTACAGAACTGTTTCAGTTCAGCAATATTCTTTAGATACAAACACAAAGATAAAGCACCGCGCTTACAGCAGCAGTGGCTTAGTATCCAACAGCTTAAAATACATAGTAAAAACAAAGAAAACGTTACCTGCGCTCTGGCCTAAATCCCCATGTGCGTTTAAACAGAAATGGAGGCTCTTTGGTTTTATTCTAATGTCCATTTGAATATGTAAGCTCACCTGCCACGTCAAGGCAAGCCTCAATAGGTGAGTTCCTACACTAGCCATTAGATATGCCGATATCAGCCATGAGTCTCCAATGAGACGTGGCAGGTGAGCTTACATATTCAAATGGCCATTAGAATAAAACCAAAGAGCCTCCATTTCTGTTTAAACGCACATGGGGATTTAGGCGAGAGCGCAGGTAACGTTTCAATATTCTTTAGATGTCTGGTGTGAATCGCTTTCTTGAGGTCATGTCAGAGCATCTCAATCGGGTTGAGGTCAGGACTCTGACTGGGCCACTTCAGAAGGCATATTTTCTTCTGTTTAAGCCATTCTGTTGTTGATTTACTTCTATGCTTTGGGTCATTGTCCTGTTGCAACACCCATCTTCTGTTGAGCTTCAGCTGGTAGACAGATGGCCTTAAGTTCTCCTGCAAACTGTCTTGATAAACTTGGAAATTCATATACCTTCGATGATAGCAATCCGTCCAGGCCCTGATGCAGCCCCAAACCATGATGCCCCCACCACCATACTTCACAGTTGGGATGAGGTTTTGATGTTGGTTTGCTGTGCCTTTTTTCGCCACACATAGTGTTGTGTGTTTCTTCCAAACAACTCAACTTTGGTTTCATCTGTCCACGGAATATTTTGCCAGTACTGCTGTGGAACATCCAGGTGCTCAAGTGCAAACTGTAAACATGCAGCAATGTTTTGTTTGGACAGCAGTGGCTTCCTCTGTGGTATCCTCCCATGAAATCCATTCTTGTTTAGTGTTTTACGTATTGTAGATTCCCTAACAGGGATGTTAGCATTTGCCAGTGACTTTTGTAAGTCTTTAGCTGACACTCTAGGATTCTTCTTCACCTCATTGAGCAGTCTGCGCTGTGCTCTTGCAGTCATCTTTACAGGACGGCCACTCCTAGGGAGAGTAGCAGCAGTGCTGAACTTTCTCCATTTATAGACAATTTGTCTTACCGTGGACTGATGAACAGCAAGGCTTTTGGAGATACTTTTATAACCCTTTCCAGCTTTATGCAAGTCAACAATTCTTAATCATAGGTCTTCTGAGAGCTCTTTTGTGTGAGGCATCATTCACATCAGGCAATGCTTCTTGTGAAAAGCAAACCCAGAACTGGTGTGTGTTTTATAGGGCAGGGCAGCTGTAACCAACACCTCCAATCTCATCTCATTGATTGGACTCCAGTTGGCTGACATCTCACTCCAATTAGCTCTTGGAGATGTCATTAGTCTAGGGGTTCATATACTTTTTCCACCTGCACTGTGAATGTTTACATGGTGTGTTCAATAAAAACATGGCAACATTTCATTCTTTGTGTGTTATTAGTTTAAGCAGACTGTGATTGTCTATTGTTGTGACTTAGATGATGATCAGATCACATTTTATGACCAATTTGTGCAGAAATCCATATCATTCCAAAGGGTTCACATACTTTTTCTTGCAACTGTGTGTGTGTGTGTGTGTGTGTGTGTATATATATATATATATATATATATATATATATATATATATATATACATACACACATACATACACAGTCCTCAGACATTGATGGGTTATATATACACACATGTGTAATTTTTACTCTAAGTGTATTTTTATATTAATATATGTATATATTAATCAAAAAATACACTTTGTATGACATATAAGATATTATATATATATATAAATATATATATATATTTTATTTACTAACAATTTTTTTATTTTACAGATGCAGGGAGACTGCCTGTCAGTTTAGGCAGTCCCCCTGCAGGCAGATACACAGGCACCTATTGTGGCCATGTGACCGCTCTTTCAGAGCAATTACATGGCAGGGGGGGCTTATTTGCCAAGGGGTGACTGTCTAGGCCAGTGATGGCGAACCTTTTTGAGCCCGAGTGCCCAAACCACAATACATGCCAACTTTTTTTCCCTCAAAGTGCCAACATGGCAATTAAACCTGAATACTGAGGTTTACGTTTAGAAAAAACTACTCGTACAGTTAACAACTTTTGTTTTAAAAGAAGAACACAACAGAGAGTTAAATTATACAAATTTTAAATGATATAAATTAAGCTTATATTAGTATCTCCAACAAATGCAATACATACACACAGACTGCTGAACACATTCACACACCAACTGCTTAATACATACACACACCGAGACACAGACAGACTGCTAAATACACACACAGTCCGCTAAATACACGCACACTCCTGAGTACGCAGTCTGCTGAATACACGCACGCAGTCTGCTGAATACACGCACACACACTGCTGAATACATAAAGACTGCTGAACACACACACATATACTGCATTGAGGGGTGCAGTGTATGTGTCTGTGTGTAATGTTGTGTGGGGGGTGTGGGGTGCTGTGTGTGGGGGGTGGGGTGCTGTGTGTGGGGGTAGGGTGCTGTGTGTGGGGGGTGGGGTGCTGTGTGTGGGGGTTGGGGTGCTGTGTGTGTGGGGGTTGGGGTGCTGTGTGTGTTTGGGGAAAGGGTGCTGTGTGTGTTTGGGGGAAAGGGTGCTGTGTGTGTTTGGGGGAAAGGGTGCTGTGTGTGTGGGGGGGTAGGGGTGCTGGGGGTAGTGGGGGTGCTGGGGGTAAGGGTTTTGTGGGTAGGGGTGCTGGGGGTAGGGGGGATAGGTTATTACATCAGTACCCCCCCCTCCCTTCTTCTAACCTTTGGTGAAGGGGAGGGGGGGGGGACACAGCCATCCCTGGTGGTCTGGTGGTGGTATGCAGGACAGGATGACAAGTCCTGCAGCTCTCCCGCGCGATGCTGTGTGGAGCGTTGCCATGGTAACGCGCGGCAACGCTCCACACAGCTCGCGGGTGGACAAGAGAGCTGTTTCCTCGATCCTTCCTCCCTGCTTCCGGTCCTGCCGACACGGAAGCAGAGTAGGCGCCTGCCGTTTCGGGCAGGCAGGCGCCTACTCTGCAGTGATGGCAAACCTATGGCCGTGTGCCCACAGAGAGGGCCCGGCGTGCCACCTGTGGCACGCGTGCCATAGGTTCGCCATCACTGGTCTAGGCTGTCAGACAATTCCCCCAGACCAGGAGGAACAAGGACAGCGTTCTATGCCGCCCGCAGGTGTTTAGAGCCACCACTAAAAGGACGGCATAGGGTGCCCAAACCACAATACATGCCAACTTTTTTTCCCTCAAAGTGCCAACATGGCAATTAAACCTGAATACTGAGGTTTACGTTTAGAAAAAACTACTCGTACAGTTAACAACTTTTGTTTTAAAAGAAGAACACAACAGAGAGTTAAATTATACAAATTTTAAATAATGATATAAATTAAGCTTATATTAGTATCTCCAACAAATGCAATACATACACACAGACTGCTGAACACATTCACACACCAACTGCTTAATACATACACAGACCGAGACACAGACAGACTGCTAAATACACACACAGTCCGCTAAATACACGCACACTCCTGAGTACGCAGTCTGCTGAATACACGCACGCAGTCTGCTGAATATACGCACGCAGTCTGCTGAATACACACACACACACTGCTGAATACATAAAGACTGCTGAACACACACACATATACTGCATTGAGTTGTGCAGTGTATGTGTCTGTGTGTAATGTTGTGTGGGGGGGGTGGGGTGCTGTGTGTGGGGGGTGGGGTGCTGT